GCCCACCTGCCTCAGTCTACCAGGATCAGCCCAGGGACATTTTCCTTCAGACCTGTGAGCATGCAGGCCCATGCCCTGCGATGTGGGAGTGCACACCCTGGTGGCTCCTTTTCATTGTTCTCCTTGAAATTGCAGGTGCAAATTCTAGAATCCCAGAAACTCTCCCAAAGCTTTGGGCAGTCTGATCCTTAGCCACAGCCTTTCATGCTTAACCCCCTACCCACCAGATGCAGGGTGGTATCCAAATTGTTTCAGCTTCATGCTCTGCACAGAGATGGTGTCCTGAATGGCAGAGCAGAGATCCTGACTCAGCCCTAGCTCAGGGGATCCCCCAAGGCTGCCCTGAGGACTGGAGCGAAGGACACAGCTGTATATACCAGTGGAGGAGGACCCTATAATGCACTTATCAGCCTGCAGATGGCGTGAGCGGAGACAATACAATCAATGAGTGCTTTGATTGAATTCAACAGAGAGCCTGGCTTTTTCACTTGTTCTAACTCCAAGAAGAAAAGCAACTTTTTGCCAACCTTTTTGCGAGCTGTGTGTCTAACTTTTTATTTTGCAGGGGCAGCTGCTGCCAGGCTGGGCAAGACCTTGTGCAGCAGGGCCTTGTGTCTGCGCCTAGACTGGGGGTGGACAGGGCATGGGAAAGGTACTAGATGCTGGGGCCCTGTGGCCGGTGGGAAGTAGACTCTGCCTCATTTTAGGAATGCACGGAGATGGGATGTCCAGGGTGCTAAGGAGGAGGACAAGGGTTGCTCAGCTGAAAAACCCTGGTCCAAGAGTCATTTGGATTAGGGCTGGGCCAAATCCAAGGAGGCCAGAGGGTTCTACATCTATCCTGGCATACCCTCTACCCTACCTTACCAGGACCCGCTGCAGTCTCCCACCTAGCATGGGGGGTCCTCTCCAAGGCTACCCATCCTCAGAACTCTCCTGTCATTTTAAACACTGCCTGCTGTTCAGTTAAACAATACGGTGCAGTGGGACTGAGTGCCCACAATTTTGGAACCACAAGAGGGAACTCATGTGTCTTCATGAAATGTAGCCATCCCTGTCCCTGAAGAGAAAGCACTCCAGGCCTTATGGAAAAAAACAAAACTCTGCTAAAATGTACTATCCCATGATCAGAGACATGACTAGCAGAGGGCCAACAGGTGAGGACAAGCAGGCAGAGAGTCCCTGTAAATGAGGGGAGCACAGGCCAACTCCACAGCCTCTGCACTCCTGTCCTGGCTGCCCCATACTCAATTTAGGGTGTCGCCTTACTAAGGGGCAGGGTCCTAGAAGGATGACCCCAGCCCCAGGACCCAAAGACTTGGGCCCAATCATAGCATTACCTCCCTACCGTTCACTTCCTCCTACTGAGCTCAGTCCTATGGATAACAGGCAGATTGCAGTGACAACCATGGCCCCCATCCTGTTCCTGTCCCTGCCAGGCCTACAGGGATCTCCTTGCCTAGACAACTGTGAAGAACCCCTCAAAGACCCCACACCCTGCAAGCCTAGGAGAGAGGACAGCCCTACCCACATGTCCGTATCTTTGAGGACTGCTGTCATGGAAGGCCTGGCAGTGTGGTCTGGGGAAGGTGGCCTGGTAGCTCCCCAACCCAGGGCACATGGCCAGAACTCAGGGCTCTGCAAGGATCACCTTGGCTGAAGCAGGTGGGCTCAGGGGTAGCCCCCACCCCAGTCAGAGCCCTCTGTACCCCAGGCCACTCCCTTGCCCTGCACAGGCAGCAGCGTCTCTAACCTCTGAGGAAGGCAGCAGGTGTGGGCAGGGAGGAAGCCAGGGGACAACAGGGACAGCAAGCTGGCCCCAGCGCCACACAGGATTCAGACCAGGACCTCAGGAAAGGAGACTAGAGGGGAAGGAAGGGAAGGGTTAGGGTCAGGGCTGGGATTAGCACTGGCCTACAGCTGGACTCTAGGCTCTGCTTCTGCCTGTCCACAGGTACCAGGCCTCCTTGTCCCTAGAGAAGCTGACCTGAGCCAGACCAGGAGGGGACCTGAGAACCTGTCCTGAGCCTGGACCCTGGCACAAGGAATTGGGGGAGGGGAGCGGAAGAGACACGTGTAATCAAGGCAATGTTCACAGAAAGCTGGAAACACACTATGCGGGAGGGTTGGCACTGCTGCTGTGACACCTGGAGAGACCTGTGGCCCCACCAGGAGACACGTGGCCAAGGAGCCTCGCTTTGCCATGGTCAAGTTGTTCTTTACTTGGGTCACCTGTGTAGGAGCACACTGGGATCTCTGTCAACAGCCATCCAGCGGGGCCTGGTTCCACTGCCCAGGTCAGGGTGAGATGGGTGGGTCTGTCCCTGTTGCCCAGTAACCTGGTGAGCCTCATGGAAGGGGCATGTCTCACTTATCCTAAGACCCCATGCCTGGCCCAGAGCTGCCATCGTGTTAGGTGATGGCAAGGCTGGATGGGCCCTGTCCTCTCCTTACTGCCTGCCTCAGTCTCTTAAGGCTGCTGTAACAAAAGGTCAGAGTAAGTGGTTAAATAACAGAAACTGACCACTTCCAGATCTGGAGGCCGGAGTGCAATGAAGGTGCTGGCAGGTCAGATGTCTGGCAGATCAGATGTCTGGCAAAGGCCTCTCCTAGTATGCAGATAGCAGACTTTCTGCTGAACACCCAGCTCTAATCTTTTCTTGTAAGGGCTCTAATCTCCTACCTGTGACCACCCCTAAACCTATCAACTCCCAGAAGCCACACCATCTCATTGGGGGTTAGGCCTTCAACAGATGATTTGGGGGGACATAAAGTTGCAGACTGTAACACGGCTGTCATAGAGACAGGTCATGAGTTTAACACCCCACTCTCAGGGGTCTGACAGGGATAGAGCCCTATCCAGCAGTGCTATGGGGCAGAAGTTCTTGACATCTTACCTACCCAGGGGCCTCTGGGCAGGGCCCAAGGATCCATACTTTCATAAGGCTATTGTTGCACCCTCAAAGAACTCTCTGCTTAATCTGCACATGATCTGCACAGGTCATGGTGCTTGGGATTGTACAACCACAGACACTGAAGGCCACAGGACCATGTAATTCTGACACTCATACCCAGAACCCCCACCCTGTACCTCCCCACACAGGCTTTGATATGCCAGGTCACCCACTGTGCTGGTCAGGGCCTGTGGTACCTCCTCCCAGAGCAGCTAGGTGCTCCAACAGGTGTCACAGGGGTGGACCCTGGTTTGGCCCACACTTTCCCGCCCTCCTCCACCCACAGGATAAGAGCTATGGTCTCTCATCTTCTCACACTCCTTGCCATGGACAATGGCTTGCTGGCTTGCCTCATAGAATGATGCGTCCTCACAGGTGGCCCACAGCAGGGCATGTCTGCTGCTCTACCCAACAGAACTCCTAGACTCCCTAAGCCAGGGGGCACCTGCCTCCAACTGACTGCCAGCCAGGAAGATCTTCCCTGGCACTTGCAGAAGGCCGGACAGTCCAGACAGACTAGGCCCCAGCACTCCAGACAATAAATCCTCTTACAGACCACCTGCCTGTCTGATACATGAGTGGGTGCCTGGCTTCCACATTCCACCTGGCACTCCAGAAGCACAGCTGCTTGTCCTACATGAGAACAGCTGCACTATGGAGCCCCAAGCTCCCATCACACTGAGCCTCCTGTCCTACATTCATGTGGCAGCACTGGTCAGGCACAACACTGAACTAGCTGACTAGAAGAGGTCATGCCAAGAATGGAGACTCTCCGAGACCCTGGAGAGGGCAGAGTGGCCAGCTGTGGCCTGGCATGCCTGAGGACCCCTTCGGCGTGCTGTTATCCCAACCTCTGGGAAGCTGGGGTCAGCACTGGTAAACAGACCTCTCAGGACGCGGCCTGCAGCGTCCTCAATGGCAACATGGCAGGTCCTTGACAAGTGCACAGGAAGTGTCTGCAGGGGGAAGAGACATGTCACCATAGAAAAGGGGCCACCTCCAAGGGCCTTCCACTAGGAGCAACGTAGGTGTATATGCACGCCAGGTCCTGGCTGCTGGGAGGCACCCGAGTGAGCTCAGGGTTGGGCTCTACTAGTAGGAATGAACAGCCAGAGGGCCCAAGAGGACTGCATGCAACACCTGCCTGTAGGGGCCGGGGTTTGCCTCTAGAGCTACTAAAAGACCTGGGGCCACTGAACTGCGCTCCCAGGTAAGAAAGGGAAGCATTTAAATGGGACTGGGCATCTCACTCTGCTCTAGAGAAGTCAGGGGCTTCCCAAAAGCCTTTGCAGCCCTGGGTAGGGAAAGGGGAGAGAGTGTCCCACCAGCTGCCTCAGCATCTGGCACAGTGGGTCCATAAAACTGGGATAAGATTCTTAAGCTAACACATCATGCAGCTAGAGCTTCTAAGAAGCTGGTCACAGGTAAAGGACAAACATGCTTAGAGGGCACAGGAGGCTCTGCAAGGAACCCAGAGGTAGTAGCGGTGGGAGTGCTTGTTGGGCACCTGGGCCCAGATGAGAAGTAGCTCTGGCCTCCACAGTACACACACACCTGATGTTCCTGTACAGTGTACGCTCTAGACACCCATCCAGTGGCAAGGAAGCTGCCAAGGGTTCTGTGGAGGAGGAAGAGAGTGCAGGGCCCAGGTCCTACTCCTCAAAAGAGCTCCAGAGGGGCACAAGGATCAGCTAGAGGGACAGTTCTCCCAGCTGGTTCTGCGGGGGTGGCAGGTGCTGAGGCCATATATGCTTCTGTCTGGACACAACCGAGTTAAAACAGGTGCAGGTTGTGAGGGAAACGCTGGTTCTCAGATGGACAATCTCATGGGCATAAACCATCTGTAAGGGACCTGGCAGGATCGGTCTGAGCTCCAGCAGCTCCACCTCACCCTTTCTGAGAGGACACAGCACATCCCATAGGTACATCTGTCCTTTCACGCTGCCAGCAATCAGTGTGTGTGGGTACCACCTCAGACATGGGAAGGAAATAGTGTGACAGAAGCAGGATCACAAGCAGCAGGGCCCAAAGAATCAGCACAAAACCTTTGCAATCTGATTTTTATAGTCTTCACACATGCCTTTAGAGCAAGAGACACACATGGCCACTAGTGCTACGGAGGCTATGACTATGGCCTCAGTGTTTGGACAGATGTAAAAAGCAAACCATTCTCCCCCAAGTCCCCTTGGCTCTCACGGGATCCTGGAGCAAAAGTCTAGGTGAAATAGCTAGCAAACACTGGAATGAAAACTATGTGCCGATTCAGCTGCCATGTCTTGAATCTGAGAGGGAATGGAGTTCATGGGGAGGCAGGGAAAGAACATAGAAAAATACAACTATTTCATGTACATTCAGAGGCGCTAATGACCATGGACAAAGGGCCTTGTGGAATCACAGGTATAGGCAGCCATGGTACCTAAAATGGGAAGCTACAAATCGGCTACGTGGTCTGAGGAAATCATTGACTGCATCCTTCTACAAAAGCCTTTGTAAAACCAACTGATGTGGACACGCCTTCCCTGGGGGTATCACTAACCTGTGAAGAGCTGAGGATAAAAGCTCCAACACTGCTACGGCAACCAGCAGCCTGTTTCACCATGCTCAGTGCAAACCTAGGGCTTTCTGAATGCCTCATTAAGGTCTCTCCACATAAAGGCTGTAACCATAAAATTCAGGAAAGTATAGACTATGGACTCTGTTCTGGCCTTTGAACCAAAGCCTGAAAATAACACATAGCGTCCATTGTTCCTAGGAATGAGAGGACCCGGACAACTAGCTCTAACTTTGTACAAGAAGCCACCTCACCCCATCAGTGCAGTGTGGCATGGGCCTGAGCTGCGGGGCCTGTTGGCCACAGGGGATGCTACAGTTGATTTAGGACCATAGCTGAAGTAGGCACCTGGAAGAGGATGACATGTTTGTTGCCTGTGTAGCCACAAGAGGGCTACACTGGCACTGGGGGTGATGAACTGAGTCACAGTCACAGTCATTGGCAACTTGACCTCAGATACCAGGCTCAGGGTTTACCTCACACAGGAATGCCCACCCTCCCAGCCCACCAACCCTTCCAGGGCCTACATGGTGTTCTCTTGGGCAGACATACCCTACCCTTGACACACATGGCCCAGCCTGGCCTCAGCTGCAGCTACAGAAGATTTAGGGGTGCTTCAGGTTGGGGGTCTCCTTGCAGGTCTTCTCCCATTTAGATCACATGACCAGTGGTACAGAGAGACCCTGGTCAGCTGGAACATGTGGGGCCAGGCCCTCCTGAGTAACAGCAGTTGGCAAGAGCTCTGGGGGTCTGAGCATGTGCCCAGTCTAGGAAGCCCAAAGCTGCAGGGTATCATCACTGATCACCTGCTGTAGATGAGCAGGGCAACGGGGAGCGGGTTGGGGCTGTGCTCCCAGCAGGATACTCCTGGAGGGCCTCAATTTTGACCACCGCTCTCAAAGCAATTTGCTGCTGCCTCAGCTGCCACTGTCGCCTAAATGCAAAGTGCAGCTGGTGCAGCTGCTCCACCTCCTGCACGGTGAAGCAGGGCTGCTGTTCAGCAAAGTGTACAACAGCCTCAAAGGATGCTGCTGCCTGCTCCCAGGCTGCTTCATCTTCCTCTTCAGTGCCTCGCTTTCCTTCTGCAGGCCCATCCACCTGGGCTAGTGACACGGCAGTGTGTGCCTCACCCACCTCCCTCCCAGCTGTGCCCTGCTCCTCTGCCCCAAGGTTCTGAAGCCTGCTGCCTGGGCAGGAGGGGCCCTCTTTCACCAGCTCAAGGATGTGGGCAAAAGTCTTGTGGTGAGGCTTAGAGGTGCAGTGCTCTGCCGCCACTTCCTCCTCCTCAGATGAGCCTTCAGTGAAGGCACCTGCAGGCCACAGCTTCCTCCAGGCCCGCCTGAAGACCTGGCTGGGCACGGCATTCCAGGCACAAGCCACGTTGAAAATGGTATCGTTCATGCTGTAGCGGGAATGGAAGCCCTGCAGGGTGACAGGAGGGCTAATGAAGTGCCTCATGAAGTCTCTTCGAATACCTTGCTCCATGGGCTGAATTAAGGAGGTCACGCTGGCAGGTAGGAAGATGGTGAAAATGTTATCAGACACCAACTCTGACTCCTGCGGGTGGGCCCGGGAGTTGTCCAGCAAGAGAATGGCCTTGCTGTCTTCGGGCAAACCTATCGTTCTGAAGTGCTCTCGCACTGAGGGGACAAAGATGTGATGGAACCAATCTGAGAAAATTTCCTTATCTACCCAGGCATTGCCCTGGGCCTTATAGGCAACAGGCAGGTGCTGGATGCCTCTGAAAGCCCTGGGGCCACCACACCTTCCGATGGCCAAGGGTTTGATTCTGTGGGAGCCCGTGGCATTGGCACACATCAGGACAGTCAGTCTGTCCTTGCCCTGCTTGAGACTGGGCATGGTCCCACCATCTGGGTTGGAATTTGGCAAGCATCGCCAGAAAAGGCCAGTCTCATCGGCACTGTAAACCTGCTCAGGGGACAACCCATGCTCAGCAGTCAAGCTCCTAAAAAAGCCACAGAACTGCTCAGCTGCTTGGTGGTCGGCCACCTGCTTCTCATTGGATGCATCCAGCTTTTTAATGCCATGCCTGGCCTTAAAGCGCCAAAGCCACCCTCCAGAAAACACACAGGGCTCAGTTAGCTGCATCTGCTCGTAGAAGTCCTTGGCCTTCTCGATGAGCATGGGACCTGACACAGGGACGCCCTCAGCACGCTTCACCAGGAACCACTCATACAGCACACGATCCAGGTGCTCGAGCTTTGGCGTGTGCAGAGTGCGCCGCTGCTCCAGTGCCTGTCTAGAGTCTGAGTTGGCAAAGAACCTGAGCAGCTGGGCCTTGTGAGCCTTGATGTCATACAGGGTGGACATGCCCACATTGTACTCCTGCATCAGCGCCTTCCTGCTCTCTCCGCGCTCCAGGCGCGTGCAGATGTCAATCTTCTCCTTCAGGGTCAGTACCACCCGCTTCCGCTTTTCCCCTCTGCCTTTTGCAGCATTCTGCTTGGAGGCCATGGGGAGCGGGGGCTGATCCGGCACTACTCCTTCCCTGCCTCAGTCTTTCCCTCTCCCCTCTGCCCTTGCTGATCTGCTGATTCCAGGCTCAAGCCCAGTGCCTCAGTGGCTCTGCTTTTCACTTGTAGCAACCTCTTGCCTCAGCCTTCCCTCAGTGTCAGCGAGCTCAGGCGTTGGCCCCTAGCAACATAGTCTGTTACCAGGTCTCTCTGCCGGACAGGTGGCCAGTGTCACGCTGCCTGGGACTGCTCCACGGCTGGAACCTGGGTCTTCTCTGCATAGACAGCAACTGAGCTCGCTCGACACTGCCAGGTTTCAGGTCAATGCAGGTTTTGCAGCATGAGCTCAGAATGCCTCTCCACGGTCCACAATAGTGTCTCACTCACAGCCCTTCAGAAACTGGAAAGCAGAGAAAAAAAAATGTTATAAGAACCTAGGGTATTCCTACCAGGAAGCTTCACAAGAAACAAGAGAGCTGTTCCGTGTGGTGTTTGTTGTCGACTATCCTGCCATATTGCTCACTTCTTTCATGACAGCTTGCCTCCAGCCCTCTCTACCTCTCACAGGGCAACTCAGAGACCACAGAGGCAGAGTTCCACAGAAGCAGCAGTACCAGCGACTTCACATGTGCATTTCACCATGTAAAAGCATGCAAAATTCACAGATGGACTCTTAGCAGCTTGCCCCCTCCTAAGCCTTATCTGGTTGCTTCGTCCAACTTTGAGCAGTCGTGAGGCCAGTGTTACTTATATGTACAGCATAAAAATGAGCACATCTCAAGAGAAATAAGACATTTATTCACACGCAGTAAGAGCTCCAAAGACAAGCCAGGCTTGTCACCAGTCAGTTTGGTTTGGGAGAGTTCCATCCTGAGCCAGCCTCCACATCTGCAAAAGTCAGTGGTCCTCTGGGACATAAAATTCCATGTACTGATTGGGAAGGGTAGCGTGCCTATTGCCTGGCACAACACACAGTGTGGTACATGCACTTCACTGTGGGGAATACAGAGGAAATCAAGGCTACGATCCACCCTTGAGGGGATTTTTTAAATGAAATGAGGGAGATAAGATGTGGAATTCCACAGGAATTTGTGAGGCTGACAAGCTTCCTGGAGAGATCTGGCAACAGACATGGGCTCACTATGGACATCTTTTGATGCCTGGCATGCAGATGTACGTCAGGTGACAGGAGGTGGCTGAAAATCCTGTTGTTCAGCTTGTACGTCTAAACATTTTCTTCAGGAGTGAAATTCTGATACTTCTAAAAAAGTTCTCTCAGCAAATGGATAACATGGCATAGTGAGAAAAATTCAAGTGGTTTCTAGCCTTGGAGTTTCAAGGGAAGCACTGACACCCTGAGGCCATGCGACCACTGACTTAAAAGTATTATTTGACTGTGCCCAAGGGGTAGACAGAAGAGTGGGAGGACTAAGGGGACAGAGCCCAGGCAGGAAAGAAAGAGGGAAACACTCATCTCCATTCAGATCTCTCCTGTGTGAGGGGAAGTAAATTTCCATAGGAAATGAGGAATTTGGGGGAAGGATGTAAAACAGGACCTTTCCGTCATCCCTATGGCAGTCCATAGGAAAAGGAGGACAACAGGCAGAAAGGGGGGGAAGGCAGAGGGAGAGAGGGAGGGAGGGGAAAGGGGGAGAGGGAAAGAGAGGGAAGGAGGGAGGGGCGAGGGGCGAGGGGGGAGAGGAAGAGAGGGAGAGAGGAAGGACAGAGAATGACTTTTGGAGACTGGGTAAAACAATTGGAGTCCTGGGAGGAGGGTGGGGGTCCTTTTTCCTAGACAGGAATATCGCGGTGAGCATGCGCGGGGCCAGGCCTAGGTGTCCACAGGCAGCGGGAGTTTACATCCACCCGATTCCTGAAGGAGGGACTCCAAAGAAGGAGACCGCTTGGTCCCCAAGGGGCTTGTGAAAGCGATTCCTTTCTGGGACCACGTTCAGGGTGAAAGGTCGGTCCTGGGCTTGGGAAAACCAGAAAAGAAAACGACAACGGCGAAGCCTCATTTGACCTGGGGGCTAGCCCCCGGGTGACGAGACCCTGTGAAGGTGGAGGCTCGCGCTGGGCATCGCGGGACGGAGCAGAGCCGGCGGACGGGCGCATCTACGAGAGCGCTGGAGACTGTCCAATGTGGAGCAGGGGGTCAGGGTCGTGGACGCGGGGCCGGGTCTGCAAGCCCGCGACGGGCACCGCTGCACCAGCTTGGCCGACCCGCGGGAGGCGTCACCGCCCCGCCCGCCTACCTCGCACCGGGTTTCACTCACCTGAGTGCACCGAGCCGCTGCCGTCCGCCGGAAGTGCTGCCCTCCGCCGGTCCGCGCCTCGAGGCCTTCCCCAGGTCACTTCCGGGGCGCTCTAGGCAGGACGGAAGACTCGGCCTCGATGGTGTGTAGGGGGCGCGCCCAGTCTCTTCCAGAGGGACGAGCGGGGCGGGGCACTGTGGCTTGGTCTACCCTTTCGTAGGGACTTTGTCACGGAACTTCCCGAACTCCGGTGTTATGAGTGGAAATCCTGTGCTGAGTGAGGTTCTGTCATCAGAGAAGGGTCAACGCGGAAGGCCAAGCGTGGCCAGGGCCGCCTCCACCGCGAGGGCTTCCGGACCCGTTCCTACTTCACTTCCCATTCTTCCCTTGGCTCCCAGGATCCTACACTGCCTGCATCTCCGCACCGCCTTGCATCCCCAGCTGCCGTGACCCACTCCTTAGCTGTGTTTGCTGTGTGGGCTGGCAATCCCCCACGTGATCTCCGGTATCAGTACTTTAATACTTGGAAAGGTTGACGGCTCCCGGATTCACGTCTCGCGCTAGATGCCCCCTCCGAAATCCGAACCGCCGTCTACTACACACAGCTTCCCAACAGCACTGCAAAGGCAGGGATCTGAAACAACCTCCACTCTCCTGCCCAGCCTTGCGCCATCCACAGTTCTCCCGTCTCAGTCAGCGGCAACTCCACCTTCTCACTTAGTTGGGTCAGAAAACTCAGAATCTCTCCTGTGTGAGCAGGAGTAAATTTCCATAGACAGGGCCCGGAGGAATTTAGGGGAACGATGCAAAAAACTACCTTTCCGTCATCGGGCTATGGCAGTCCATAGGGAAGTGAAAACATCAGGTAGATCAAGAGAGAGGGAATATGACTCTTGAAGACTGGGCAAAAGAATTGGAGAGTCTTGGGAGAAGGGCGGCAGTCCTTTTTCCCAGACAGAAATAACGGGGTGAGCATGCGCAGGGCTCCTTCCCTCCCTTTCCCTCACAGCCGATATCCGGTCAGCCAGGAGCTCTGATTACCTCTCTCCAGAAAACCTATCTTTTTTACCTCTCCAGCAGCTGACCCCTCGTCCGTACCTCCAGGATCTGGCAGTTGCCTCTTTCCTGTCCCCTTTTTTCTCTCTTTACCCTGTGATCAGCTGTCAGCTGTTGCAAACCAAACCACTCCAAAACTTACCGCCTTGAAACAGCAACCACCGTATCCAGCACATGGTTCCGTGGACCACGAGTTGCACACCAGAGTTAAATGTGTTTAACAGAGGAGGCAGTTGGGTTAAGACACACAGCAAGCACATGATGAGGGGGGTCAGAAAGAGAGAATCCAAGACCCTTGGAAGAGCTTTCTCAGCAGGGCTCTTAGTACAACCAGGTCCCCCCAGGCTGTCCCTACTCTGATGTTTGGCTCTCTGCTGCCGCCCTGTGGACCTGGGATGGAGTGCACCTCCCAGACCTGGCTAATATGGCAGGGGTTGAGGTTTGGATTAGAACAAGGCCTCCCGCCTTACTCCGGAAACTTCAGGCTTCCTCTTAAGGGTGAGGTTCACTATGGCAGTGGGGAGGGGGGTCAGAAAGAGAGAAAGAAGGTAGAAATACAGTGGTGTGCCCTGGAGCCTGCCACAGAGCTTCCCTCCTAGCCATGCCCCAGTGCACAGGGTCACACGTCCAGATCAAACCTGGACTGCTGCAGCAGCCGCCTTGCTGGCCAGGTCCCATGGCCATTCACAGCAGTAGCCTGGAGAGAGTAAGTCTGCGCAGATCACTTCCATTCCCAAATAACGCCCAGGTCTTAGCCATGAGGCCATGTGTGGTTGGCCTCCTGCGGTCCTCTTCCAAACTATGGGCTGACCCTGTCATACACCTGTGCCCTCTGCCTGCATCCCTTTGCCTGGAAGGGGGCCTGAGCCCTGGAAGTGCCCCTTGCCCAGGTTTTGGGCACCCCAAGTGAGGAATCAGCCACTCATCCTTCCAGGAGAATCTTAGGTGGGTGTCGCAGGCAGAGAGGGTTTGTGAAGTTCGCAGCCCAGTGGTAGAGAAAGGAAACTGTCCTGGAAGCATCTGGGGTCCTCCTGGCTCACCAAGTCCCTCCAGGAGGAAGGAGTGGGCACGAAGAGCATGAAGAGGCAGAGGAGCTGCCGGCGGAGCTGAGGGCTGGGCACAGGAGGAGAGTGGGTTTGGGGTAGGATCACTGATAGTACTTGGTGAGACTAGGGAAAGCTGTCTCTTCTGGGTAAACAGGCGTCTTGGGAGAATTAGAGACAGAAGGGTGGTGGGTGCTCCTGAGATTCAGTCCCCCAGTGCCACCCCTCAAGTGCACACTGATAAAACCTGGTTGGGATGCCCCACCTAAGACCCTCCTGGAGGACAGGTGCCTGGCAATTCCTCTTTTGAGACATCCAGAACCTGAGCAAGGCCTAGGCTCCCTTCCAGACAAAGGGCTGCAGTCAGAGAGCTCAGCTACATGGCAGGGTCAGCCCATGGGTTTGGAAGAGGACTGCAGGAGGTCAACCACATCTGGGCTCACGGCTGAGAAGACCTGGGCTTTATTCGGGGAGGGCAGTGATCTGCCCAGAACGACACACACACATTATCACCCAGCATTCATACCACACCCTCATACCCATACACATATATGCACACCATCCCATGGGGCACATTCACACACCATCACACTCACATGTCACATGCACACACAGAGACCGTGTAAGACATGGCCTTAAAAAAAAAAAAAAAAAAACACCATCACACTCACATGTCACATGCACACACAGAGACCGTGTAAGACATGGCCTTAAAAAAAAAAAAAAAAAAAAGGGCTGGGGATATTGCTAGCCTGCCTGGCAAGCACAAGGTCATGAGTTCGATTCCTGGTACCAAAAAAACTAAAAGAAGACATGGCCTTAAGGGAGGCTGGCTCTGAGGGTGACCCCATCACTCACGATCTGGCCGTGCAAGTGTCACACCCTGCACCTGCCAATGCATTTTTCCAGAGGAAAATATCTACACCTGTGTAAGCAGAAGTCAGATGTGGTTTTGCACGAGCATGCTATCTTCGTTTTAAAAACTAACTCTATGTGAAGTAAAAAATTGAGGCAAATGTGATGTGTGGTCAAGCATGGGGCTCTGTGGTCTGTTGGCAAGGACTTCCTGCCAGAAGTCAACACCCAGGGAGCAGCAGCTCCTGTACTATGTGAACAGGCAGGATCTCCCAGGGGCCCAGCGGGTTTGTGCTGCACTTTCAGGTGAGCGGGCAGAGGACCAAGACAGAACATGAAAATCCGGAGTGGCTGGAGTACAAGGGACTAAGGCTAAGGGTGAGTCACGTGGACGCCTCACCCAGACCCTGCTCACTGCTGAGGGACCGCAGGGAGTCTTTCCCCTTCCCAGGGAACAGGGCTACCAGAGGATCTAGGCTCAGTTTAGTCTCAGAGCCTGCATTTGGTGGGTGCCTAAAGCATGACTGATGAAGAACTGGGGTCAGGGTGACCATGGTCAGCACCTAGTGTGTGATACCAGGGCCCAGTGTGTGATAAGGATCAGGACTCGGTGTGTGACCAGGGTCAGGGCTTAGGATGTGACCGTGATCTTGGCTTATTTGGGAACCAGGGTTAGAGTTCAGACTGACTAGAGTGTGGGCTTAGTGTTGGGCTGATGTCAGAGTTCAGTCTGTGGTCAGGGTGGGGCTGTGGGGAAGTCACAGTCACAATCTTCAGTACGTGAGCTGTGGCCATTAGGCCACCCCTAGGCCAGTTCCACCCTTGGCTCTGCTGACACTTGGCGCTAGGGATTCTGTGAGGACTGTCCTGTGTGATGCAGGGTGCTGAGCAGATCCTGGGCCTGGGCCTACTCCACCCAGCGCTAGCAGCACCTCAAGTTGGGACAACCAAAAATGTCTCCAGGGCTTGCCAAATGAGCTGAGGAGGGGCAGAACTGCCTGTTCAAGAACCACTGCCTTGAAGTACTGACTTGATATCAAATCAAATGGGCAAACACATACACACCTGTAAATATTTGGAGAATGAATGTTCAGGCTGGTGCCGGGTGCTGGGTGCCTCCACTGCAGAGACAGATAAGGGTGCTGGACGGTGAGTCCCAGGGGATTGGGCTTGGGTGGGATGAGGGGTCAGGCAGGCAGCAGCCACACAGGGAAGCAGCCAAGCCTCAGCACCTGACTCTGCCATGTGACCTGCCCTGGGCTGTAAGGGAAGTTCGGAGAGAAGTTCCGGGAGGGGAGAAAGGGCGAGACAGTGTCCTGGGGAGGCTGCACTTGGCCTGTGTGACCTTCGCTAAGGTCTTTCCCCTCTCTCCGAGCCCCACCCTCTTCACTGCCAAAGAACAGAGCTTTCTGTGGAGTGAGAAGAAGAGCCCAACTTGTGGGGTGCGAGGAAGCTAGGAAGGGGAGATCCCCAGGGTTGGAGCTGTCTGACCCTGGGTGGAAGCTCAGAGGCTAGTTAGTAGGCACTGCAGGGTGCCAGGGTAAGGGAGGGAGTCTTCTGTCACCCCTGACTCCCACCACCTGTGTCATCTCCATGTGTGACTCCTGGGAGCTGCTGTGTCTCTGGCCCAGGATGAATGTGCCTCTTGGCCTTCCTGGACTGTCCAGAAGGCTGGGGTGCTGGGCTCCAGATGCTCTCCCTCCCTGCAACACCCTCACTGCTAGAATGCCCCAGGACCCCTCTGACATGTGGGAGAGGAGGAATGTTTAGGAAACCAGCAGGGACATGTGAGAACCAGGGAACCGGGGGATGTCCCTTAGCCCTGAGCAAGTAGGCAGCGCTCTGGCTAGCACTTATGTCCACTGGTATCCAACCATAGAAGTCGTAGGCAGATTGTGGCAGAGGTACATAGAGGAGCTCAGGTTGGTGCAAGAAACTGGGACGACAAATTGCCCTCAAAGCACACAGCAGCAGGGAGCCATTGGTGTTCCCTGGGCCTGGCAGTAAAATGCAAGGAACAGTGGCCAGAGACTGGCTGGGGAAGGCAGGACCTGGGGGCCTCTCTGGAGGGACACAGCCACAGCCACCATGGTCCAGGCATCAGGGTGCTGGATATGGCGTGGACTTGCCCCTTTCTGCTGTGGCCAGGGAGGTCAGGTCAGCCTCCTGGGGCCCAGAGCCAGGTGCAGAGTAAATCTGGCCAATGAAGGACATCTGCAGTGCCTGGGCTCCTGCCTCCTCCTTCCCCTCAGGGGCTGTAGAAAGCTGTACATTTCCCTGATTCTCTTGTAGCTAATGTTCCAGGTTGTGGGGGTTAATAAGGCCCTGTGGATAAAGCCTTAGCCCAGGATGGCACCCACTGCTCCAGAAAGTTGAGCCTGCAGGTGTCCACCACATTCCCCATTGGGCCCCCAGGTCCTTCCCCAGGGAAGGCACCCCCAGGACAGCCCCACCCTGTGACCCCTGCTAGTTGCCAAGGCAGCACCCACAGCTGTATCTTGGATCCTCTCACTGAAGCCTGTCAGCCCGTAGCTCATGGGCCCCCGAAGAGCAGCACAGCTTCCACACAGAGCACAGAGGCCTCAAGGAGGCCCCTGGTCCTCTGCTAAAAGGCTGCAGAGCCCTCAAGAGAGTGGTCTCCCTGGCCTGACCTCATTCAATAAGGCAGGAGGTGTAATCAGAAGCCTGAGGACTTGCCAGTCCTCATCCTGCAGGGGAAGTGCCGCACCCTAGGCAGGACCTGCCCTCCAGAGGCAGAGAAAGGACAAAGGGGATAGGAGGGGCAGCCTGCGAGGGAGGGCTGAGTTTGGGATGTGGCCCCAGGAGCCTGTGCTACTGACTGGCCAGGGTGGCCTCCCCTGCCACTGCAGCTATAAAAAGTCCTCCTGAATCCTGCTCCCCTGCTGACGCGTCATCATGAAGGCTGTTCTTGCCCTACTGGCCATTGCCCTGGCCCTGCAGCCAGGTGAGTCCTTGGCCAGCATGGAGGTAGGGCTGGGAAGGGATAAGGGAAGGAGGGCGGAGAGGGACCCTGAGAGCCAGACAGAGTAGGGGGAGGAAGGGAAGAGGAGGGCAGAGGAAGGAGAAACTGGTCCCACCTGGTACCTGGGTGGAGCTCTTGACACACCCAGGATGACTCCATTTGTCCCCTGATGTCTCAAGGCTTTGCTGGTAGCATGAGGCTACTTTTTACCCCTTGGGCAGCACTGGCTCCGGAGGGACAAACAGATGGAAGGGATGCTAACAAACAGCTTAGGAAGTCAGGAGCCAAAGGTCTCAAGCTACAAACACCCCAAAGGGAAGGAGGGAAAAGGGAATGTGGACCTGATGGCCACTCCCTAGCCCATTCCTGGCTTCTGCTCCTCTAGCTGGGGCAGTGGCCACCAGGCTGAGCACCTGTGGGGACAGTGTGGTCTGCTCTGCCCTGGCTGGGCCCTTC